CAGCTCATGTAATTACATGCTCTCTTAATTCTCTTTAAACTTGCCCATTGGTTGAGATTATTGTCATGTTTTGCATTCCAGATTCTGCATTATTTTTAAGGAGAAATTAAATGAGATGTTGAGCAGGTCTTAGTAAGTTCACCTGCATTACTAAAACATAGAGTTTATTTGTCCTGTTGTATTATTGCAGGAAGTGCTGATTCGTAAGATTCTTTCCAAGCCTTTCAAAGTTCCCATTCCGAACTATCAGGGTAAGATCTCTTAATATACGTAAGTCTTACAAACATTACACAGTACATGTAGGTCTAGTTATATAACACAATTTGACATTATGTTGCCATTGATTTATCAAATAATGTCCTTTCTTGTTTCTTGTTTCTTCAAGGTTATGTTTATATCAGGAGATGCAGCACTTGGGTTTTATGGGTTAAGTTTTGGACTCCAGATCCAGCTGCCCTTATATGAGAGTTAGCTGGGTCCCGGGTGTCATGTTCTTGGGCAACACTAGATACTTTTGAAGTGTTTCTGTTGACCCAGGGCATAGTTATCCTAAGTGTGTATAGTGTTATGCAGTAGATAAATCACCATGGAATGGAAAAGTGTTATAAAACATCCTATGATATAAACTGGATGGTGATTTATCCTCTTGTAGAATAGCTTTATCTGTAGACCCTTTGAACAACCAAGGCCAGGAGTATAGTCACTGTAAATGGTTTCTGGGGAAAATCTCACAAAATGCTGGGATGTTGGTAAAGTGGGCCAATCTGGCACAAGTGCAGCTTTTATTAGCTTTTTCAGTGGCATTGATGTTACAGAGTCTGTAATGGTTTCCGTACTGAGCATGGGATCTACTTCTCCTCCACTGAGAAATTTGTTAGTTCTTCATTGCATAGAGTCATCAATGGATAAAAATTGTGAAGAAAGACAAAGTGGTAACATGGTGGCCTACTGGTAACAAGTTGGAGTCGAGATAGTTCAAATTCAAGTACTGTCTGGGTTGATCTCAGTCCCATTTAGGTTAATCAGGTGGTTAAATCCAGTTTGCCTTGAGTATGAAATAAGTAGACTTACATGAACATGTAAAGTTGTATGTACATCTACAGTTGTAGAGTAGTGTATCAGTAACAACATTTGGGTATGTTTTGGTTGTCTTATAGGGTGTACGTATGCAAGGGGGCTTGGCATCAAAAGAAAAGGACCTCGCAGGGCTCTGCATGACCCTTTTGAAGAAGATGCTTTGGTTCTATACTCTCCAGCTGAACTTACAGCTCATGAGAAGCTTGCAGCTGATCTGTAAGTATGATATGCGACCTCACACAGAAAAATGTAGAGGAACGAATAGCCATTAATCGGTTAAAACGAATCATGGCAAACGTGATAATTTCATTACTAGAAACTCGTCAAAAAATGCACGAAGAGCTTAAAGTGCATATGACATGAAAAATAATTTCTGCTTATTTAAAAGGCCTTTCAAAATACAGAAGAATGGCGTTTTTCTTTTTGAAATATATTTTTTCATTTTAAAGATATTGACGTTCTTCTATTATGCAAATGAGATCAGTGATGACGTGATACTGTTTGGAACTAAACTTCCACTTGTGCCTCTTTTACTCAATAGTAACACAGAAAGTGTTTTCTGTTCATTATTATAGTTCTTACTTGGCTCTTTCCTTTTTGTGTTTTACCAAATGTATCCACCAATGTGTCCTGATTCAGAGAGAATCAAGAAGTTCATGGTAAGACTTGAAAAAAAAAAGTTTTTTTTATCATACTGTAATGTGAATTCATAAATAAATAATAACATTCTGTGATTTCTTTAATTTCTTCTTTTAATTAGTTCTTAAGAGCAGCAATAAGTGAGTGGGCAAATTGATGGATTAAATAGTTCATGGAGATGTTAAATCATGACGATATTATTACATGTGCCAGTCCAAACTTTTCAAGAGTGACAGTACTAAGATACTGGCAGTTGTAGTACTACAAAACACCCGTCGGAAACTGTGTTAAACCTCACACTTTTAATAACTCATTGGTACAAACATCTACTACAGTAACTGCACTAACATGAATTTTGCTCTCTGATTGGCTATGCTACTCACTATCTATTCTGTTGTAGAGAGTGAGTAGCCTACATGTAGTAGTATATACAGTTGTTAACAAAATATTATTTTTAATGTATTTGAACAGTTGTTGTTGATCCACTCCTTGGTAAAATTCTCCGTCCTCATCAGAGAGAGGTAATAAAATAAATAAATATTTTTTTTATCTTTTGTATGAAATAATTATACTGAAAGTCTATAATATAAAACTCTCTAAAGAAGTTTGTTTGTAAACAATTGTTGTTTACTTCCAGTACAGTCGGCTGACACTGTGGAATGATATGTCGACCGACACTTGGTTGGCCAATACATGTATATCAACCAACAGTCGGTCAGGTGTCGGTTGAATATCGGTCAAGTATCAGTCAAATGTTGATCGAGTATCTGTTGAGTATCAGTCGATATGTCAGCTTTTACTCGACTGACACTCGACTGACTCACATATAGGCTGACGTATCGACCGATACCCAACCAACACTTGACTGACACTCAACCGATACTCAACTGACACTTGACCGACTGTCGGCCGATATATCGGTCATGTGGTAGTCGACACTTCACCAATACTGGGCCGATACTTGGCTCACGTATCAACCGAGTGTTGGTCAACATGATCTGGTTGTTTTGGCACAGCTGTTTTGAGTTCTCACAAACTTGATTAACTATTTTTTATCAGTTCTGATCAATGGAAAATAAGGGGTGGCGAATGGTAAATGCGAGACTTTGCGAGATGATGAGATTAGCGTTTTTCTTTGCGATCCCGAGACATTTTGATTTCTTCAATTGCGAGACCGAGACTTTAAAGTGTTTTAAATGCGAGCTAGAGACATTCAGGTTCTAAGATGTTGTGATGTCATTTTACTTTAGCAACAAAAATAAACAAATCGGTACTAGCCTTGAAAAAAATCGAGACTGTGAGACGCACATAACCACTAAAAAATGAGACTGCGAGACCCGTGAAATTCAACGAAAATTTTGCGAGACCATGGGTTTGTAAAGGACCATTCGCCACCCCTAAAATATATTATCAGTACATGTGAATGTAATTCATGCAGCGTGCTATTAGACAAGACTAAGTGTTTCTTTAAAACTTTAGGGTGTAAAGTTTTTGTATGATTGTGTGACTGGACAAAGGATTCAAGGAAGCCATGGATGTATCATGGCAGATGAAATGGTAATAATAATAATTAACATTACTTCATCGTGCTATATGGAAGATGGGAGCCTGGGATATCCAGGGGCCTCCACTGTGACCAAACAGCCCCTGGACAGTACATGTTTAATGCTCCCATGGCTGGCAATCCCTGCAACTCAGCTATGAGTCCCCACGCAGTCTTCCAGACACCCGTCATGCTGAGTTAACTGTGGAGACGGGGTTGGGAGGGGGGCAGAAAGACGTTGACGAATAGATCAAAGATGTGCAGGAAACTACTCAATACTACTACCAAAATGTTCCAGGGACAGCCACGCTGGAACACGCTAGTACAATGGTGAAGTGCACTGAACCTGCAATACCATATGAATACTGCTGACTGGAAGTGCCAGCCACTCTTTGTTGTTAACTATGGTAAATTGCATTTAACAGCATTAAAAATAAAAATGTACTATTTAGTTTTAGTTTTTAAAGGTGTCTTTGTGGTGTTTGAGACCAGAAAAGTCTAAAGATTTGACAATAATGTTACAGTTAGTAGCTGTTTTGAGAAAGGTACAATGTAACCTGTTGTCCTACAGAGGCATAGAAGCGTTCAACACAATAGTAGAACTTTGTACAACATAGTTCACCAATGACTGACATGTTAGGGGTTTTAGCAATGCTATGTCTAAGAAAGTCTTACTCTTTCCTCTACATTACCTGCTATTATACATGTACATGTAGGGTTGAGGCATTGCAGTCTCTGAAAGTTCATTAAAATTTGATGATTATATCCCAGGTAATGTTACCTTCAGTTGGGATAATCTTTCTCAGAACAGCTCTGCACGATGCAAATGATTGTGTTGCTGAGCTTTTGAACCTTCAGCCTGGTGACATTTCTTTATGGTCAAATCATGTACATATATTAGTGCTTTCTCAAAATTAATGGCTATCTGTATTTGTTTCAGGGATTAGGGAAAACGTTACAATGTATCACATTGATTTGGACTTTAGTGGTGAGTAAACTTTGCAATCTGATTTACATAGCCTTCTAGCTAGTATAGAATCTGATATTGTATTTAGGTCAGGGCATTACTGCTGAAACTACAAACTACATACAGCTGTAGCTACAAGCACTTGCACTTGCTTATGTACATGTAGTTACAATGAAACGGTATTTACAAGTATGTTTACTTAATGATAGATATATTTAAATGTANATTGGAAAATTTACTGCGATGATCTGCCATTCTTCACTTTCATTATTTTGTGTGTTGAGAATTCACAAATGTGTGGAAGGAAAGGATCATGGGTACTAAATGCACCATATTCGTGGTTGAATGCTAGTGTCGATCAATACCCTGGATCAACACTGGATCGACAGCTCAATTGTCACTTGCTCAACACTCGATTGACACTTGATCAACATCTTGGTCAATACTTGGTCAACACTCAATCAACATCTCAGTCAACAGTTGGTCAAGAGTTGGCTAACTTATGTAGACATGCCATCAAGTGTCAATTGATACATTTGTGTCACTCATCAGGTGACCAACTTATGACCAGCTGTCAATCGGATCATGTGTTGATCGGGGGTTAATTGAGATGTCGACTGAGTTGTAAATTGAGATGTCAATCGAGTGTTGATCAAGGGTATCGATGGAGACTCCACTGCGGTCACCTTTAGTTCACATGATCTGAAGGAAATTGTGCTTAAAATTATGTTGAGCTTGGTAGAAATGTGAAACAAATCCTTGTGTTCTAAACTGTTATTTCTAGTATACTGGAACAGAATTTGGGATAAACAGTATGAAAAATATAGTTGTCTTGGATGGTCATTATTATTACGTAAGAGGATTTCATACATTGTACCATTAATTATGTCATTTATGTCTTTATTTTGTCCTTATTCATTGCTTTTTCTCTTTCACTGTAGGCCAACCAATAGCTAACAAGATTATTATTGTTGCTCCATCAAGTCTTGTCAAGGTAAGAAGTATTTAAGAAAAATTGTTTATGAGCAAAGGTTTTATTAAGGGCTGGGCGCCAGGCAAATTGACCAGCTGTGGGGATGATTCTGTCCACCTGGTTTGAACATCTAGAGGAAAGTTTTTCTTATAAATAGGTCCAACGTTTTGCCTGCCTGTGACAACCAGTTACCTCTAGCAGAAAACATTAATGAAACACCTGTATAACTTTTGAAACAGAAACACTGTAAACTGTTGTGAAAACATGTTTGAATGTGTGTTCTTGGTTTAATTAAATCAAAACTAAAATTATTTTAAAGATCTGCTTTCTGCCCCAATAGCTAAATTTTAGCATTGGCATTAATTCACTTTTCTAAAGCATATGTTCTTTTTTGTAACATCAGAACTGGTACAATGAACTTCATAAATGGCTTGCAGGGAGAATTTCTGCTTTGGCCATTGACTCTGGGACAAAGGATGAAATTGACAAAAAGCTTGGTAAGACTTAAAGCTACTTGTTTGTTCATGTACAGTGGTACGTCTAGTCATTGATAATTCCTTTTACATGTAACAATATATTATGAGCCAGAAATTTAAATCTACCACTTGGTCTGTTCAAAACTTTATCTACGTCATCTTCATCAACACTTTGAAAATGCAAAGAAGCGGAGGCCATTTTGTTAACAAATGCACACTGCTAAGTTACTCACTATCTACAACAAAACAGATAGTGAGTAGTGCAGCCAATAAGAGAACGCACTCCTGATATAATGCGTAGCAGATTATTTTATACCTAATATTAAAAATGCTTGTATATGTAACTTTTACCATGTGATTGAAAAGGAAACTGAATTACTAAGTAAACAATTTGATCAAAAAAGTGAACTGTGTACTAGCTAGTTTGCATATCAAATTTATTCCATGTATCATTCTGTGTTATTGTTGAACATTGTCAATTTGATCAAATGTCCTGACTGGTTGTCTCTTTTTGAATTGTTTCTTCATCCAGGAATGTTTATGTCGCAGCAAGCAAAACGCACAGCTTATCCAGTGTTGATAATTTCGTATGAGACTTTCAGACTTCATGCCTCTGTGTTACATTCTGGACCAGTGGGATTAGTCATCTGTGATGAGGTGACATTACATTTATAATAATATTTTGATTGTACATAATTTATACAATTGTATATATTACTTAATATAATTATTATTTATCAGGCTCTGAGTGGCTCAGGGGAATAAGACAAATTATTTAAGAAAGTACATGTACCTCTTTGTGCTTCATTCGACCTCCAATTGACATATTGGATGTTGCATTGTTTCAGTTCTGCCATCTGATTGGTTTTCATTGTTTGGGTGGCCCCAGTTTCAGTAAATGCACTGTAAGCCAATGCATTTCTTCAGTTACAACACTGAAACACCTGTTAACCAATAGCAATGGCTGGAATCCCCCTCACAGTTGAGTTGTGGGCTACAAGTTCAACTGTTAAACTATAAATAGATAATTAAATAAATCTGGGTTTTTGTTTCTCTCTGCAGGGACATAGATTGAAGAATCTGGAAAGCCAGACATACCAGGCTCTGGATAAATTAAAGACAACGCGAAGGGTACTCTTATCAGGTATAGATAATAAGTTCAAGTTAACTGATGATTATTTTATTTCCAAAATAAAAATTTCAAAGCTAAGAAAAATTTGAAACAAAATTGCATGTCAAAAGTTCCTCAGTTACATTGTATAGTACACATAACTTTTACATTGGCGCCCATACTGGTCATGCAGTACAAATGAACAGCTTATGTAACTCTGAGGAAGGTGAATATAAGAGAAATGATTGACTATCAATTTTCCTTTTATATGAGATTAGATATCCAATTTACCCAAGATCACGTGTTAATCACATTGAAACAAATAACGTAATGAAAATACATGTAACAGAGACAAAAGAAGTGAAAAAAACATATCTGGCATTTAACTCCAAATGTCTAATCAAAGAAAACACTAGGCAGCTACTGTTGCTAGAGTCATTGTTATTGCACTTATATCAATATAGATGACATTTGTACTCAGTGCTCTCTGCAGGCTATGTCCCTCTGTGCACTTGCCTCAATTACACGTACCCAACAATTAGTTAATTTTGCAAGGAATTGTTAGTATGCTTACTAGAGCCCGTAAGAGTAATTATTGTAGAAGCAGTAGTGCTGTTTTATTATAAGTTGCTCTTTTCCAGGTACACCAATTCAAAATGACTTATTAGAATATTTCAGTCTGGTACATTTTGTCAATGGTGGAATTTTAGGTAAGTTTTAAATTAAGAAGTAATCCAGCCATGGTTATTTCACAAAAGTTGGTGGAAAGTCTCGAGAACCACCAAGCATATTGTAAAAACACCACTTACGGCCATGACATCAGCTTACATGTATTTCCTTTCATTCTGCTGAGTTTTGTAACAAGTGCATGATTGTACATGTACTGTAGACTTGTATTTTAGTAGGTTAGTTATGTTCTCAAAACCATTTTGGGCAGAAATTGAGACTTACAGGAATTGGATGTTTGGTGTAAATTACCTGACTCTAAAGGCAAGGTGCATGTTACTCAATACATTTCAGGAACAGGCCTGTTAGCACTGAAACTAACAAAATTTGATCTGCTCTACCGAAAATCAACAAGGCAGGCAGGCCAACAGCACTTTTGAAGTTAAATGATGGTGCACAAAATTTAGTAGAACAGCAATCAATCAATCAATCAATCAATCAATCAGTCAGTCAGTCAGTCAGTCAGTCAGTCAAACTTTACTTGCGGCAGTCTAAAAAATAGCTAAGTATTAGAGCAAAACTGAAAAATTAAAGTCACCATCTGTACTTGTAACATGGAATTGCTTTCCCTTAGTGCTAATGGGCCCTAAGTTTTTAGTTTATGCCCAAAATTCATGTACATTTGTATCACCTGAAACTTGAGACTAATTAAATTACTTTTAGGCACGGTATCTGAGTTCAAGAAAAAGTTTGAGAATCCCATTTTAAGAGGGAGAGATGCTGATGCATCAGATGCAGACCACAAGAAAGGAGCAGAAAAATTAGCTGAGGTAGCTGTTACTAACAATGTACCTGCAGGTTCATTAAAACATGTATTCTCCCTGCAGTCTTGAAATGTTGTATGCTGACATTAATTATTTGACATACATTTTCTTACATGCATGTTTTCAAATACTTTTATTTTCAAATAGCTTGCATCCTTGGTAAACAAATGCATCATTAGAAGAACTGGTAAGTTCAGTTACATGTTGATGTAACTCAGCAATCTGATCTGCTCTTTCCTCTTTCTTAATTATTGAATAATGATTACCATTGCAGATTTTCTCCCTTTGAAGTAACATTTCTTCTGTTTTTTTAAATTTTTATTATTATTTGTTTCTTTCAGCTTCAATATTGTCCAAATATTTGCCAGTGAAAGGTTTGTCTGTTTTGAAAGTAGCTATTATTAATAATTATGGCATTTCATTATCTATGCAAGTTTAAAATATTGTTACCTCCATTGATGTAAATAATTTTGTTGTTGCCTCACTGCTTACAAAATGTGGTGGTGGCAAAGAAAACTAAGAGGTCATGTGCAGATAAAAAGAACTCAAAACTCATTACTGGCTGAAAAGGTTCTCCCTGGAAATGTGCTAATTTCAAAAGTAACAAGGGTTGTTACTTTCGGAAGTTTACAGATAGGAAGTGCAAGTGTCTAGGTCAAAAATACAACACAAGTACACTAACCTCATAACTCATGGTGGCCTCTTGGTTAGTGTGCTCACCTTCGGATTGAGCGGTCTGAGTTCAAGCGCTGGCTGAGGACATTGTGTTGTGTTCTTGGCCAAGACACTACTTTCACAGTGCCTCTCTCCACTCAGATGTATAGATGGGTAGTGACGAATTTAATGCTGGGGTAACACTGCAATGGACTAGCATCCCATCCAGTGGTGAGGAGAAATACTCCTAGCTGCTTCATGCTACTGAAACTGGAGATAAGCGTTGGCCTGATGGGCCACTTGGCTTGTATACAGTTTTCACCATACACTAAAACTGGTGATTAAATCTAGCATTTAGTGACTTGTCGTGTCTTTTATTCCTCGCACAGTGGAACAGGTTGTATGCTGTCGTATGACCCCTCTCCAGTCAGAACTCTACAAACATCTTATTCAGTCAAAAGTGTTAAGAATGGAACTGATGAAATCTAAGACTGGATCAGGAATGTCTGCATCTTCACTGGCTTTCATCACTCAACTAAAAAAACTCACTAATCGTAAGTAACACCAGTATAAAAATCATTGTTTCCTAAACTGAGTGTATTAATGAGAACACAAGCTGTGAATGACTGGAGATTTAGCAGCAACTTGGTATAAAGGTTGAATTTACAAAATTATGATTGAAACATGAGTTGTACAGAGACTAAAATTCCTTGTGGTCATCTGCTTCTGCCAAGTCAAGTTCACGACAATAAAATTATACGTATACTAAAATGTATGTTGTCAGGAAGATAAATTGATTGAATGTTATCAATTGAAAAAGATTCAAAAATAAACATGCATTATATTATTTTTAATTTTCAAAGCAAGCAATATGCATAGATTGCTTCCAGCTGAGTGTGTTTATTTTCTTTACCTGTGTTCATTTATTTGGCAAAACAAAACAATCACTCAATCAATCAATCTATCTATCAAAAACTTTATTAATGTTTCAAGTGAAAGCAGTTTAGCTAGCTGAGGGGAAACACCCACGGCAGATTTTTCAGATTTTTTTATAGTTTTGCACCACTTACATATTGTCAACAAAAACAGCTGTAACTATTACTTGATATTAAAACAACAACACAGAAACAAAAATTACAATAAATAGAAAGTAAACTGTGTGCAGTGACCAAAGTAGCTAAGGCCAGGGCTGTCAATAAGGGCTGTAACCCATAACACCTGTTACGGCTGAGTATGCTTGATGGACCCTTGATGTTACAGGTGAACTGGCCTGTTGTTGATACAATTCACCCATAAAGTAACAAGTTTGCTATGGGTGTGAAGATCAAGGCTNGCTGAGTATGCTTGATGGACCCTTGATGTTACAGGTGAACTGGCCTGTTGTTGATACAATTCACCCATAAAGTAACAAGTTTGCTATGGGTGTGAAGATCAAGGCTACAGGTGAATTAAAACTCAATGACAGCCATGGCTAAGGCTTTCGGGTTGGTCACTGCCAAGTTAAGTTAACTGGCATAGCCAGTAAGTTTATATAACATGAGAAACACCCTTCTACTAATTTGAGACACTTAATATACTGTAATTAGAAATCTACTAACTATTAACTAATTAATAACCAAAGATCTTCTAATCAATTTTATTTGGTTTCATTATACTGTAGATCCTGAATTGATATACGACAAGGCACAGACAGGGGAAGAAGGTTTTGAAGGAGTACTGGATTTGTTTCCACCGAGTTTTAGCCTGAAACACCTGCAACCAGAACTCTCTGGTGAGTTTGAATGATCAACACTTTGTGTCAAACTTGTAGTCAGAAGGATTTATTGAGTATAGCAACAATTCATTGTATTTTTGTTACATGTTACAACTGCTTTTATCAACAGCCTCTGTCTATTCTCCTATGAGTCTGCTATCATTATTGCTTGCTTAAAATGCTGTGGAATCAGTTTGGGACTAAATGGAAATATTTTTGTCATACTTGCATGTATTTCCCTTGATCAGTTTCATTTAGTTGTATTAGAAGAAGTAGGTCTGACAAGTTGCAATAAAAACATTCCTGTGTAAACAGAAAGAAGGATAATTAGTATGGAGATTAGCATGCAAAAGATTCCAAAACTTGCTGATTATTAAGTTTAAGCTAAATAATACTTTGCCACATATACATAAATAAAAAGATGGCAGGATAGTTACAGGGGGAAATTTAATTCCCATTCTAGGACCACTCTCCTTTCATTAAAAGTTATAAAGTAGAAACATACAAATGTACTATATAATTATAAAATGATATGAACTACTCAAAACAAATTAAATCTTGAGACATGTAATTTTCTTAATTTTTCTTTAACTTATTAAAGGCACATGCTTCAAGAAGTTATGTAATCATTAAGCTGATCTTTACTCTTTATACTTCTATTTATCAGAAGAAGAAAATTTCTAATGACAGAATTATGCCGCTTTCATGATAGCAGCTGATGTTATAAATAATATATTTATTGTGTATTTATTTTGATACTAGGGAAAATGCAAGTGTTGGATTACATTTTAGCAATGACAAAATCTACCACAACAGACAAGGTAACAGAGTAAAATCAACCCTATGTGATTAATTATCTAATTTCTCTTTTTGTTTATTGTTTATTGCAGACCTATAATAATGATAATCAATTCTTGGAAAAGATCTTTTCAACTACGTACTTGTTCTCTTGCAAAGAAATTCTCAAAAGCTTTTTTGATTAGGGGCACCATGATAATTTTATTATTATTATTATTATTATTATTATTGTTGTTGTTGTTGTTATAATAATTGTTATTGTTATTGTTATTGTTATAATTGTTATTACTGTTAATGAAATTAAAGTCAAGCATGTTGAATGATGCCAGTTTATATTGCTTGATAACAGTTACTAGGCTTTTCAGTATCTCAGTGGATATTAGTTTGCTATTTTAATTTGCTCATAAATTTTACTAAACATGACCAGTATTTCATGGGATTCATAATAAAATTGATACGTAAGTCTGAACTTAGTTCATTTTACTTACGGTACTTCATTTTACTGAACTTAGTTCATTTTACTTACCACAGGTTGTTCTGGTATCTAATTACACTCAGACTTTGGACTTGTTTGAGAAGCTCTGTAGACTTAGACGGTAAGTTGTCTTTTCCTAGGAGTATTGCTGACTGCTTAAACAGAAGATTCCCAGCTTTGATTTTTAAGGATTTGTGGATAGTTATTTGTTTACAATAGATGTTTCCAAACATTTTCTTGCATTTTTATTAATTTCCTCATGTTTCTTCACTAAATAAATATAGAGTCCTAAAGTGATGATGTCACAAAAATAAAATTTTTGAAATTATGGGGTATGATTTCATATTCTTATAGAGGATCCCAAAAGATGCCCTCATCCCAAAAATTAGCTCTGAATTGCAATTCCCGATAGAGATATAAGGGATCAAAGTTTGATAGCATTCCATACAAACCCTTNCAATAGCAAGGATAATAAACTTTACTCTCAGTGAAACTTCCTACAATGGCCAGTTCATCTAAATGCCTTGTGCCAAAGTCATCTTTTTAGTTTAAAGTTCTGCTTTTCAGAGATCTGCAGTTTGGAAATTTTTGTTGTTGTCAGATCACCATACAATCAATTTATATTACCAATGCTATCACATCTTTCAAAATGGGGAAAACAACAAGTCTCAACATTTTATCTCTCCGTAGGGTGGGGACTTTGTTTTCATGCTCAGTAGCAAGGCTGGTGGGTGCGGCTTGAATCTGATTGGTGCAAACAGACTTGTTATGTTTGATCCCGACTGGAATCCTGCTAATGATGACCAGGCAATGGCTCGTGTGTGGAGAGATGGACAGAAGAAAAAGGTAAGTGTAAACTGGAACACATGCAGTGATCAATCCACATCCCACATCCCATCCCACATTACTTTCAGAATAGTTGGTTACACCAAAGATATTCAGCATGGCCTTTAAAATTTTGCGGCGTAATGGCATGCAGTACTCACGTACTGTGAGGGTTCTGTGTCCTGCTAATAATAATGACACAACACAGCCTTGGGTGATCACTGGGATTGCCCTTTTAACCTCTGAAAATTTTTGATTTTAATTTTGGAATTGTTTTGGTTGGTCTGTCAAAAAGCTGAAAACTGCATCCCAGTATTACCTCCATGTGGATAGAGATGCATTTCTCCCATGCTAACATTTGTAGTTTTAACATAAAAAGGAGATATCAAAAATGATCCAATAAAAACTGATTGTGATATGATGCAAAAACGAAACAATGAATGTAACAACTTTTTTAAGGAAATTCATTTTTATAGCAGTTGAACCTCCCATAAGCAGATGCCCTCATGACCACAAAGAGTGTCTGCTTAAGGCGGCTCCCTATAGTTTTACGATTGCACACGCGCATAGGAAGAAAGCCCAAAGGAAAACAAAATGATATTTGTGATATCAACATGAGGACAAAAAGCAAAACTGACAGTGAATTTTCTCAAGTTTCCTTTGGTGAATTTTTTAAAATTTGGCTCAGTTGTAATCACATACAATTCCTATAAAATACCCTATTTTTGTTAAAATCTCTCAGAGTTAATCTAATATATTTAGAAGAATGACAAATTACAGAATATTGGAAAAACCGTCTGAACAACCTTGACTTTTTACCAATTCAAAATGTCAGGCAATATCATTTCCATGATGTGGTAAAGTATGAAAAAATTTCACCGAATGAAAGTATACATAATTATCAAGGAGTTTAGGCCAAAAGGAGGAATATATCAGCGTGCCACTGGATGAGATGTTGGCATGATAACGGCCTTAATCCAAAAATTGACAACCAAAAAATAAGCCTTATTTTAACAGTACCCATACTGGTAAATCTCTACAGGGAAAACTTTTAGAGAAATTAACTAAGTTTCCTTTTCTAACTTGCACTCTATAGGGAGGGTGTTCGTAGATACTCTAGGGAGCCACCTTAAGAGAGGTGTGGCTTGTGGGAGGTTAAAAATGCAGTGTTGGTATGTGTCTGTTTACAGAAGGTGTCTGCAGGCCTATGAAGGTATCTATTCTAAAGTGGAGGTTTGACTGACTAGCAATGCATGTTCATTACTACAGTCGAACCCGGCTAATTCAAACTTCAGTTGGCTATTTTGAATTCCCTGTTATTTTGAACTAAAAACCATTTCCCTTGTATTTGCCCTGCAGTCATTTACTACTTAGTCTCCTCCGCAGCCGTTATTAGGGTTGTCACGCAATGCTTCTCCCGTGGAGAAGCGTTGCGGGATGACCCTAATAATGGCTGCGGAGGAGACTATTTACTACTTTGACTATTTCAAACTCCCACTATTTTGAACTTTTTTTCATTTCCTCTGAGAGGTTGAAATAATGGAGTTCAACTGTATTAAAAGTTACTGAAAACTGTTCTTTCCTTCTGTAGGTCTTCATTTACAGACTGCTGTCGGTAAGTTGAAAATTTCAATGAAACAGTTTTATCTTTAATTCAGAAACTCCTCATGGTATACTGTATAGTCACTTTAGACTGAAGGATACATGGTGTCAATTAAGTGTCTGGCCACCAAGCAGACTGGTCAAGTAGGTACTAGGTAAAGTCTGCATGGAAGCCAAAGGGTCCATCAGGCCAGTGCTTATCTCCGGTTTCTGTGGCATGAAGTGACTAGGAGTATTTCTCCTCCTTCCCCCTGGATGGGATACTAGTCCATCGCAGGGTTACCTCCAGCATTAAATTTGCCGATACCCATTTATACACCTGGGTAGAGACAGGCATTGTGAGAGTATAGTGTCTTGCCCAAGAACTTAGCATAATGTCCAGGGCTTGAACACGGGCTGCTCGATCTGGAGACGAATGCACTAACCATGAGGCCACCGCACCTCCCACAGACTGGTTAAGTAAATGTACCACTGTTGAATTCTATCTTTTCAGACTGGTACTATTGAGGAAAAGATCTTTCAACGTCAGGCCCACAAAAAAGCTCTAAGCAGCTGCGTGGTAGACAAAGAGGAAGATGTAGAAAGGCACTTCTCAGTTGGAGAATTGAAAGACTTGTTCCGTTTGAATGAGGACACTCTTAGTGATACTCATGACAAGTAAGTTGTCTCTTTAGTAGTAGTGTGAATGAACCAAGCATGGTTTGTAAAGAAACTGCTGGGCTGCATTTGATGGTAAGTGAAGTACTCACAGAGGGCTTTTTTCATTCCTAAACTTATGAAGTAATATATCAAACACAAAGGACCATGTTTGACCACATTTCCAAACATCAAGAAGAGAGTTGAAAATATAATGCCAAGTAGAACTATTTTCGATGAACATTGAGGTGTTTGGAAATGTGGTCAAACACTGTCTTGAGTGTCTGATACATCTACCAAATCGAAACTAAAAATGAGGAAAAAACGGAGGAATAAAATGGTAAAAATCATAAACATAAACCCAGTAAGTTCTTACATATTTATTTACTGTCTCAAAAACCTAAAGCAGAATGGGAATCTTGTCTGAAATGTCATTTTAAGGCCTTTTTTTCTAATGTGTTTTTCCTTTTCTTTACAGATTCAAGTGTCGTCGATGTGTGAACAACATTCAGGTTCACCTTCCCCCTGAAGGTACAGACTGCAGTGCAAATCTGTCACAGTGGAATCACTGTGCAGATCGGAAGGGACTGGAAGACATAATGTTAAAGGGAGCTTGGTCAAGTGGTGTCACATTTGTTTTTCACCAAAAATCACATGACAAACAGTTGGGCCTTTGATAAAATGTAAAAACATGCCTTTATTTACAACATATGGTTTGTCTCAGAAACAGACAATTTGAGTTTCAAAATTAATTCCTGTACAGGCTGTATACTGTAGGTCTATTGTAACCTATTAACCATGGCACACATGATGTATGACTCAAAGTCATGGTTCTTTAATAGCTGTTATTTTAAAAGGAAATATTTTAATTTGCAACTGTTTGGGAATGTTTTCATGCAGTGCTTGATGCATGAAACCTCGAGGTGAGAACTCACTGGTTTCTTATGACAATAATTTTAATATCCTGATATTTGTCTTTA